GATTATGGTCTCCTCTGTATTTTTTTCTGAATTTGAAAAGAATAGCAGGCATTATTTTTTAATTTATTTTTAAAATTTAGGCCTCACTGCAAGGATGTGAAATCTTAGTTCCCTGATCAGGGATCAAACCTAAGCCTCCTGCAGTGGAAGCAGGGAGACTTTCCCAGACTGCCAGGGATGTTCCAGGAACATTATTTTTAAATAACATTAAAAAAAAAAGAAAAACTTTACAATAAAAAAGTTGAATCTGATGCCTATGGTTTATTGTGGCATGAAAAGAGAGTCACACAGCAAATGCATTATAAGATCCTCTTTATTAATTAAAAACAAACATATGGAACTATATAATATACTTATATAAATATGGATAAATAGTATAATAGATATTGATACACTATGGATATAGATGTACACCCATACACTAAGCAGTTAATAGGGCTGATAGGTGGAGAGGGAAGTGATATTGAGGGTATAGATGAAGGAGGACTTCAACTGCATACACTTTTTACCTCTGTATTGTAGTCTTTGAAGTTTTTCTTTTTTTTTTTTTTTTTAAATTAATTAATTAATTAATTTATTTTTTTTATCACAACCATAGTGTATCTTTTTTTTTTTTTTTTTTTACATGTATTCCCCATCCCGGTCCCCCCTCCCACCTCCCTCTCCACCCAATCCCTCTGGGTCTTTCCAGTGCACCAGGCCCGAGCACTTGTCTCATGCACCCAACCTGGGCTGGTGAACTGTTTCACCCTAGATAATATACGTGTTTCAATGCTGTTCTCTTGAAACATCCCACCCTCGCCTTCTCCCAGAGTCCACAAGTCTGTTCTATACATAGGAGTCTCTTTTTCTGTTTTGCACATAGAGTTATCGTTACCATCTTTCTAAATTCCATATATATGTGTTAGTATACTGTAATGGTCTTTATCTTTCTGGCTTACTTCGCTCTGTATAATGGGCTCCAGTTTCATCCATCTCATTAGAACTGATTCAAATGAATTCTTTTTAATGGCTGAGTAATATTCCATGGTGTATATGTACCACAGCTTCCTCATCCATTCATCTGCTGATGGGCATATTCCTTATGCTTTTGCAGAGTCACTAGACTGTATCTAAGTCTTTCTGAGAATTTAGATTTCTTTTTAAGTTCTAGACAATTATCAGTTGCTGTCTCTTCACTAACGCTTCCCTAGCATCCTTTCTATTTTCTTCTGGAATTCCTATACATCTAGGTCTAGATCTATCTTTGAATTTGTTTTTAGGCACCTTTACCGAGATATAGTTCACATGACACATAATCATTCACCCACTACTAAATATATATTTGAGAGGTCTTAAAGTGTCTTCCATGTTTCTCAGCTGCTTTTTCACATTTTGGAAACAATCCTTTTGACTGTGGGTACTCTGGATGAACTTATCCATACTATTTCGCAAGTCCATGGGAACACTGCTTCTTTCCTCATCCCATGTCCTAATCATCTCTTCCACCTAGCTGTTTCTAAGTTACATCCTTTTGCAGTGAACCAGTAATATATTCAGTTCAGTTCAGTTCAGTCGCTCAGTCGTGTCCGACTCTTTGCGACCCCATGGACTGCAGCACGCCAGGCCTCCCTGTCCATCACCAACTCCTGGAGTTTACCCAAACCCATGTCCATTGAGTCGGTGATGCCATCTAACCATCTCATCCTCTGTCGTCCCCTTGTCCTCCTGCCCCCAATCCCTCCCAGAATCAGGGTCTTTTCAAATGAGTCAGCTCTTTGCATGAGATGGCCAAAGTATTGGAGTTTCAGCTTCAGCATCAGTCCTTCCAATGAACACCCAGTGCTGATCTCCTTTAGGATGGACTGGTTGGATCTCCTTGCAGTCCAAGGGACTCTCAGGAGCCTTCTCAACACCACAGTTCAAAAGCATCAATTCTTTAGCACTCAGCTTTCTTTATAGTTCAACTCTCACATCCATACATGACCACTGGAAAAACCATAGCCTTGACTAGACAGACCTTTGCTGACAAAGTAATGTCTCTGCTTTTTAATATGCCATCTAGGTTGGTCTAGATAGGAGCAAGCGTCTTTTAATTTCGTGGCTGCAATCACCATCTGCAGTGATTATGGAGCCCAGAAAAATAAAGTCAGCCACTGTTTCCACAGTTTCCCCATCTATTTGCCATGAAATGATGGGACCAGATGCCATGCATAAGAAGCAGTAAAACTAAACAAATGTCACTACACAAGTATCAATGAATGAAATAAATTTTTATCATATATGTCAGGATGAAGAAAACTGAAATAATCAATGCAAGAGAAAATAACTTAGGGAAAAAGAATCAGTGTAAAACAAGAAGAAAGGGAATTCAAAATTAAGATCTCTAGAAAAGAAAGTGGGAGAGAAAGATTTATGGACTCTAAAAACATTGTTTAGCGCCCTGAGTGACATGTTATTTCCCGAACATGTGGACCCTGATCTATACCACCTCAGTCTTCCCTGACTGCTCAGCAGGTAAAGAGTCCGCCTGCAATGCAGGCGACTCAGGTTCAATCCCTGGGTTGGAAGGATCCCCTGGAGGAGGAAATGGCAACCCACTCCAGTATTCTTGCCTGGGAAATCCCATGCGCAGAGGACCTGGTGGGTTATAGTCCATGGGGTTGCACAGTCAGACACGACTGGATGCACTAGCACTTGCACCATCTCATCGTGTAAACAGCTCCTTGCTGGATGCCGCCTTCAGCAGAAAGCCTCTGTCCTTGCTACGTTAGCAAGGCTATGTGGTACCTAACCTTTAACCAGGCACTCGGGCCTGAGCACACCTTTCAGATCTTTTAATCACAAAATCCCTTGCCTAACTTGTTAGTTCTTTCAGTATGGCAAAGAAGTAAGAATCTGAGAATAAATAATTAACAGATGACCAGATTTCTCTCCTAGATTCCCCTTCAGTAATCCTGTAAACAAACTGTGTGAACAAGATAAGGACTAGAGGAAGATCACAAGAAGTCCTGGAGCCTGTGTGCAATGCTTCTGACTCCATCTCAAGGATTAACTGAGATGACATCTCTCCTTTCCCTAGTGGCTCAGCTGGTAGAGAATTTGCCTGCAATGAAGGAGATCCTGGTTCGATTCCTGGGTTGGGAAGATCTGCTGGAAAAGGGAACGGCTACACCCTCCAGTATTCGGGCCTGGAGAATTCCATGGACTGTATAGTCCATGGGGTCGCAAAGAGTCGGACACAGCTGAGCGACTTTCACTTTTCCTTTAAAATTTTCATGATTGAGCAGGACCTCCAGAAGCGGTTTTTTGGGGGATGTTGAGTTTACCATCTTCCCAGAGTGCTGGCACTCTGATTAGAGGCAGCTTTCCTTTCTACCAGTGTCTGTAAGTTTGGCTCTGTGAGTGGCGAGCAGTGGGCCTTGACTCGACAGTTCTATAATGCCCCTTCCCTGTCTTTCACCCTCAGCCTGGCGTTCCCACGACCCAAGGCTTCTCTCTCTGGTTGTGACTCAGCTCAGGCTCTATGTCCCTTCTGCACCTAAAGATGAGAACAGGGAATGCAGCGCTCGTGCATGCTTGGGGCCTGCATATGGTAGACATGAATGCATATTTCTTTTTAAAAAATATTTATGTATTTGACCGCATTGCATCTTAGTTGCAGCATGCAGGATCTTTAATTGCAGCATGGTAACTCTTAGCTGTGGCATGTGGGATCTAGTTTCCTGCCTATGCATCAAACCCAGGAAGCTGGGGCAGTGAGTTTAGGGGATGTGGGGGAGGAGACGTGGGAGAGGGGGAGGGGCCCTGGGGGTGGGTGAGGAATGGCTGGGAGTCTACGCTAGGAGCAGAGGTGTGAGGACTGCCAGACTGAACCTCAGCTCGCAGCCTGACAAGGGCTTCCTCATTCTGTCCCCAGCTCAGTCTCCTAGGTCCCTCACATTCAAGAGCTTTCTGTGCTGCAGGCTGGAACTCCCTTCTTCATGGCCTGGGTCATATACTCCAGTTCAACTCAACTGTCCTGGACACTGGGGACTTCCCTCTAGGTCCACTGGGAGGAGGTCCTCCCTCCTCCAAACCTGGGGAGTGATGCTTCTTTACTTTGAGAAAGATCCTTACCCTGCACTACAGACACCTGACAAAATGTCTTACTTCCTATTACTAAGGGCTGAATTGTGTGCCCCAAATTCTTATGTCGAGTCCTGACCTCCAGCACCTCAGAATGTGACTTTCTGTTGGCAGCACAGTCCAGCAGGTGGGATCTAGGCTCTTCACTTGGGGACCGAACCCATGCCCCCTGCAGTGGAAGCCTGAAGGCTAACCACTGGACCACCAGAGGTCCCCAGAATGTGACTTTATTTGGAGTAGAGCTTTTAAAGAGATAATCAAGTTAAGATGAGGTCACTAGGCTGGGTCCTAATCCAACATGAATGGTGCCCTTACAGAAGGGGAAATGTGGACACAAGCGCACAGAGGGAAGACGATGTGAGCAGCAGGGTGAAGGTGGCCGTCTATGAGCCAAGGCCAGAGGCCTCAGACTTCTGGGCTCCGGAGCCGTGAGATGATAGGTTCCTGTTGCCTAAGCCACAGTGCCTGTGGTATTTGTTACGGCAGCTGGAGCTGACTGATGCTCTTCCTCTGAGGCCTGTGCATTCCCACCGTAGGAGCCTCCCTTCTCTCCCCCAGCTGGACTCCAGTGTCCCCACCCCAGCCTCCTCCTGCTGTGATGTCCCAGCCACCTGCTGTTGCCTTGTCCGGGGAGTCAGATGACAGACCTCAAGTGAAGGGGTGCGTGCTGAGGGTCAGGAGGAGCAGTAGGGCCCCAGGACAGGTTCAGGATGAGTCTTTCATTTGCTTTTATTTGGTTTTTCAAGCTTGGATTGTGGGGGTCACAGCTGGTGGACGGGGAAGCCAAGAAGGGACCCCTGAGAGCTGATGGGGCTGAGGGAGGGGAGGGGGGAAGGTTCCAGCGAGCAGGCTGGGTCCTGAGACACACCGCTGGGGCTGAGGGGCTTGGCGGATCACCACAGGGCCTGTCTCAGGGTCCCGAGCAGGAACAATGCCAGGGGCCAGGTCTGTGGAGGCACAACGGCTGTGCCCAGCGTGGACGAGCCGGCAGCCTGCAGAGACTGGTGTGGAACCTGGGTCTGTGCAGGAGTGGACGTGGGTTCAGGGGGCGGTGTAAGGGCAGACGTGGGCTCAGAGTGGGGTGTGAGTCTCTGGATCTCATTGATCCAGTCGGTAAAGTAGGTGACGTTGGTGAAGATGCTGGGGTAGATGGGGTGTCGGCAGTCAAAGCCCCAGCTGGCCAGCCCCATCAGAACCCAGGAACTGGCGAAGTCACAGACCAGGGGGCCCCCAGAATCGCCCTAGGAAAGAAACGGGAGTTCAGATGGGTGACTGAGCCAGTTCTGAGAAGACCAGGTGGCAGGGTGGGGCCTATGAGTCTCTGCCCTCCGGGCTCATTCTGAGAATTTCCAATCACCAACCTCCCACTGCAGATCAGCCCAATTAAGCCATGCAGGCAGGCACTGGAATCATGCTTCAGGAAGTCCTGATTGACCCTCAGAACAATCACAAGTTTATATCCATCAATATATGGATCCTAGGAAATGGCAACCCACTCCAGTACTCTTGCCCTGAAAATCCCATGGGCAGAGGCTACAGTCCATGGGGGTGCAAACAGTTGGACACGACTGAGCCACTTCACTTTCACTTTCACGTGCCCCGGGAGGGTGTGGTGGTCAGGACAAAGCACTGTCCAAGGCCGAGAAGGGACAGACAGCTGCAGGATTTGAGCTCAAGAGGGCTGGTCTGACAGTGGAACCTAGCCAGCTGAAGCTGCTGCAGACCTGGATCTTGCGAACTCGGAGCTGCAGCAGCACGTCCCCACCCAGGTCCTCCTTTTTCACTCGTTTAGCCAGTCCTTTAGTTTTCTCTCAACTTCTGGGTTGAGCATCTTCAGAAAGTGCCCATACCCAGGCCTGGGGGAGGCAGCCTGTATTGGTCAGGGAGCAGCTGAGGGTCCCCTGAGAGCTGCTAGGAGCTATTGGAGTCCTGAAATGCTGTCAGGGCAGGACCACCTGGGTGGAAATCCTCTCACTTCATCACCCAAAGGGAAGGGGTCATCCCTGGAGGCAGGGTGAGAGGAGCAGGATAGCTGTGCTTCTGCCTTCCACACACTTGTCCAACACGCACGTCCAGCATTCACGGCAGCTTCTGCCCTTGAGCACAGGGGTGAAATGTCAAGGTTCCTCCTTCACGGAGTTATCGTAAATAAGGCAACCAGCCTGCCATCGTCGTCAGACGTGACATGTGGAAGCAAGCCATGGAAGGGACAGGACAGGAAGGGAAGGGCAGTTCATAGGGTGGAGACACGGAGCTTTCCAAACAGGACAACCCAACTTTCTGATGCTGGCACAGAGGGAGCAGGGAGTGCAGATGAGGAGAGGAGGGATGGCCACGTGGGCGGGAGGAGGGGCAACAACACGGGGGAAGCGGGGCGGGGAGACAGGACTCGGGTTCCCAGGGCCTTAGGGTGGGGTTGGGGTTGCCTCCCGTGGAGCACTGTCCAGCTCATGTGGAGCACCTGGCTTGCTCTGGTGCTGTGATCTGGTGCTGTGTGGAGAAGGAACCTGTCTGGAGGCAGCTATAGGAAAGGCGAGAGATTATGGGTGAGGAGGGGCCAGGGTGGTGAGAAACAGTCAGATCTGGGACAGTATGTTGAAGAAGGCAACAGAATGGTCAGGGCGGAGCCTATCTCAGGAGGCTGTGCAGAGGGGAGGAACAGGCTAAGCCCCGGGGGCTCCAGCGTTTAGAAGTGGGAGGGGAGGGGCCCAGGTGCAGAGTGGAGTAGCTGGCTGGCCCGGGTGCCCAGGAAATGGCAGTGAGGCTTGCCCAAGTGCCGAGTGAGGGAGGATTTGGAGCCACGGCTGGCTCTGGCAAGACAGGCTCCTGGGCACACTGGCCACGAGGCTCCGGCGGCCCTGGGCAGACTCCTGGGCAGAGCGGGTTAGATGCGGGGCTGTTAGGAGGGGTCCCTGGGGGAAGGAGGCAGAGACTGGGCAGAGCAGGTTAGATGCGGGGCTGTTAGGAGGGGTCCCTGGGGAAAGGAGGCAGAGACTGGGCAGAGCGGGAGGGAGACTGCCCTGCACGTTATGCGAGAGCTGCAAAAGCAGAGACAAGTACAGAGCAAGGGGCGGAGACAAGTACAGAGCGAGGGGCCTCCGGGCACCCAGGGCTCCAGGAGGGAGTGGGCACGATGGGCCAGGAGGCTCAGGAGAGACGGAAGATGCCCGCTGGGCTGGGAAGATGAACGGCACCCAGGCCAGTGAAACAGGAAGCACGCTCTCCAGCTGAGAGGGAGGGGAGAGGGAAGCGGTGACTTGAAGGGAAGAGAAGGGTACATGGTGTGGCTAGCCCAAAGTAACCCTCAAAGACGGCCGTCCTCATCACTAGATCCTGGGGCTATGTTGCCTTATGTGGCAAAAGGGACTCTGCAGCTGTGATGGAGCTGAGAATCAGGAAATGGGAAGATTATCCTGGATTATCTGGCTGGACCTGACATAAACACAAAGGTACTCATGAGGAAAGAGGGAGGCAGGAGGTCAGAGTCAGAGGAGATGTGATGACAGGAGCAGAGGGAGGAGCAATATGACTTGGTGACGCAGGAAGGGGCCAGGAGCCAAGGATTGCTGAGGACCTCTAAAAAGACAGAAAAAGCAAGAAAACATTTTCTCCTAGAGCCTCCAGAAGGAAGCAGCCAGGCTAACACCTTGACTTTAGACTCTTGAGGTCCAGAAATGTGAGATAATACATTTGTTGTCTGAGCCACCAATTTAAGGTGATGTCACCAAAGCACCAAGAAAGTCACACCAGGGGCTGCTTGGACATTGGGAATGCGCCATCATCTCCTCAGCTCTTCCCCTCTGGGGTCCCCACCTGGGGTGCCCTTGGCCCTCCCCACAGTGTACCCACCCTGAGCTGTTCAAGGCCAGGGGAAGGCCTGGTCCCTGTCTACCACAGGCCTCCAGGATTCGTGCAGATAAGCCTCGTTGCTGATATTATGGTGGAATCTGGGCCAGTCTGAGGGAGATGGGAAGGGCTCCAAAAGCCTCCTGCTCCCTGGGGAGATCTCAGAAGGCAGAGGAAGCTCCAACACTAGTGTATCCTGTGGAAAGCGAGCTGTGGTTTGCATTATTGAAGAGACAGAGCCAACCAAGGCAGTGTGTGTGTGCGTGTGTGTGCGTGTGTGTGTGTGTGTGTGTGTGTGTGGTGTGTATGTGTGTGTGTGTGGTGTGTGTGTATGCACGTGCGTGTGTGTGTGTGCGTGTGTGTGTGCATGTGCGTGCGTGTGTGCGTGCACGTGCGTGCGTGCATGCGTGTGTGTTCGTGTGTGTGGTGTGTGTGTGCGTGCGTGCATGTGTGTGCGTGCATGCATGTGTGTGTGTTTGTGCGCGCGTGTGTGTGTGTGTGTGTGTGGTGTATCGTGTGTATATGTGTTGGATGGGGCCAGGCAGTGAATTCTACCTTGGGTGAGAGGACAGGTCTAAGACAGGCCCAGAAGAACAGGTACAACCCTGGTAGAAGGAGACAGACCAGGCCAGGAGATTGAAAGCCAAGACTTGCTAAGTACCTACTGAATGTCAGGCACAGTGTTAAACTTTCTACAGGGACCTTATTAAGAGGAGGCTGTTAGCAACCCCATTTCATGGGTGAGGAAACTCAGTTAAGGTCACAATCCCAATAAACGACAGGTTGAATTCTGAAGCCAGGGCTCTCCTGCCGCACAGTCTGAGCACCGAATGCTTCTGTGGCCTGTCTCTCCTCAGACCTCTTTCTGGGTGCCCTGTGCAGCGGGGGGCACTTCCAGGGAGAGAAGAGGGGCCTGGGTTTCAGGGTGGGGGCTGGAGCAGGCGATGCGGCAGGAGACGAGTCCAGACTGAGTGTCTCAGGGAGGCTGTGGTGACTGAAAGGGGGAGAGCGGGAGGAGGGGTCATCTAACACCTTGGCTCTTGGGGGTCCACCTCAGCGCCGTCCTCAGCCGGGAAGAAACGAGAGGAGGAGTGGGCTCTATGGACACTATGGACATCCAGCAGGCAGACAGGGGGTGCCAGCCCTGGGCTCCACGGGCAGGACCTCTGCACGCTGGAAGGGAGGCCCAGGGTGACAGCGGATGGGGGCGCGGGGACTGAGCCCTTCGTTTCACCTTCGGGAGCGGCTGACTCTGTGAGAAGGCCAGGCCAGGCCGGACAGCCAGACCGCTCACACCGCTGGCTGTGGACTGGGAAACTGCAAGGAGGGCAAGGGGCCCAGCTTCCTGCCTCTGGCCCAGCAACCCCGTGGGCGGCCATGAGAACAGCCATCTGTGAGGCCATCCTGTGGGCCAGGGGCAGCTCCTCCCTCCTGTGTGCATCTCCTGGCCTGCCAAAGTGTATCCCCACAGACTGGCTAGCTCTGAAAACAGCAGAAATTGATCTCACAGTTCCAGAAGTCAGAAGTCTGAAGCCAACTATCTGTGTCTCTCCCTCTTTCTATAAGAAAACAAATCATTGGATTTAGAGCCCGCTCTAAATTCAGCAAGGTCTCATCTTGAGATTCTTAACAACCGTATCCGCAAAGACCTATTTCCAAATAAGGTCACATTCTGAGATTTAGAGGACACAAATTTAGGAGACACTATCCAACCCACTACACTATCCTTGCAACAATCCCATGACGGAGGCCTCCAAAGCCTACGCTGTGGATGAGGACGCAGGCTCAGAGGGGAAACGACCGCCCGAGGTCACGTGGTAGCGCAGTCTCTCACCCCGGAGCCCTGACACTCCCTCCGCTCCACGACACCATCTGTGGAAGAATCAGCACAGGATGCCAGCCTGGGAGCCTGGGCCCTGAGGATGATGCGGTGGCGGTCAGGTGGGGCTTGGGATCAGAACACAGGGGCCCAAGCTGTGGCCCTTATTTTAGGGGAGCCACCTTCCTTCTCCAGGCTTGTTTTCTCACCCATAAAAAGACACCACAGAGAGTGGAAAAAAAGCTTCACAGTCAAGCATCCAACAGCGGGACTTCCTTGCTGGTCCAGTGGTGATGAATCTGCCTTCCAATGCAGAGGATGCAGGTTCAATCCCTGGTCAGAGAACTAAGATCCCACACGCCACGAGGCAACTAAGTCTATGTGCGCAACTGCCGAGCCCACGCGCTGGGAAGCGCGCGTGCCTCAACGACAGCGGAGCCCACACGCGGCAGCGGGAAGCCCGCCCGTCGTGACTCACACCCAGCCAACACGGCCCAAGCAAACAGAGCGAAAAGCCTGTCCGTCGCGACTCACACCCAGCCAACACGGCCCAAGCAAACAGAGCGCAGCCAAAAACCCCACAAAACAAACGTCCAGCAGTAGACTGATATCTGGAATATGTAAAATACACAAGAGCCCCTAAAGGAAGAGACGGACAAACCAACCGAAAAATGAGAGGGGGGAAAATCCTGAAAGGAAACGTTACACAAAAATATGGCCAAAGATAAAAATATGTGAAAGTACATTCAATTCGTCACTGGAAAAGTGAAAACCACAATAAGTTATTAAAATGAGAAAAGATGGAAAGTGCTAAGTACTGGTGAGGATATGAACTCTCATCCACTGCTCGAATGAATGGAAATGGTGAACCACTTTGGAGAAGTTTGGTAACATCTGCCAAAGTTTAATATACACACACCTTTTAATCCAATAATTCTACTCAAGGGTTTCTGTGAAATAGAAGATAAAACATTTGGAACTGAAATGAAAAATTTGGAAAGTACTAAAATATGCATTAAAGTGTAACTGATCATAGGATTCAATGGACACAGGAGAGTCCTATAGAGTAAGGAGACTGAACAGGTAACAGTGTGGATGAGTCTCACAAATACAATGTTAAGACAAGAAAGACTGAGAACTGGAAATAAATTCTACTTACAGAACATTCAGAATCTAATCTAAGGTATTAAAGGTGAAGATGGTGGTTTCCATTAGGGGTTGGTGACAGGAAGGAGGTGTGAGTGGGGCCTCTGGGTATTGATCACATGTTGCCTCACTATGTGAAAATTCATCCAAATTATGAAAAGAGCATGGGTGTATGTATACTACAATAAAAACTTTAAAATATGCCTCAAGAATAGATGCCATAGATGCCCTCATGTGCAAGGGGCTTAGGAAGGGGGTGGCCTGGGGGACGCGGCCAAGGGATGGAGCCCAGGAAGACGCAGAGAGGAGGAAACGGGAAGCCCAGGGCTCCTCAAAGAGAGCTGGGACCACAACCCCTCCCCAGAGAGACTGAGGTCCTGAGAACAGCAGGGGAAACAGACAGGGCCTGACTCACGTGGCAGATGGACTTTCCCGTGGAGAAGTCCCCGGCACACAGCATGTCCTCGTGCACAGAGAAGTTTCTGCCTTTCGCATGTCCATATAACATATTACAGAACTTGTTCTCAATGAAGCTCACCTTACCCTCCTGGAGATGGAAGGGTTCGAGCAGCGGAGCTGTGAGGATAAAGAGGAGATCAGGGAAGGATGCTGTGGCTGAGCTACAGAGCTCTGCCTTGCCAGTCAGCACCACCCCTCAGCACGGGGCTTTCTCCGCACAGCTGGGCGTTCACCCTTCTTTCAGTCTTCTACCTATGCCTAGTAAGCCCTCCCCTGTTTCTCAAACTTTTCCGAACTCATCCTATTCCCTCCACCTCTTTCATAGCAACAGGCCACACTCCTATTCCACGAAGGGAAAAGGCAAATCCCTCCAACACCTGCCACTCACTGGTGCTTAGCAGCCACTCACCAACCTATCTACCCTTTCACTAACCTTCCCATCCACTCACCTTTTGTTTATCATTAACCTTGCTTTCCATCCACTTATTTCTCCATCCATCTACCTATCTTTCCTCATGTCCCATTCACCCACTCATCCTTCCATAAATTTGCCTATACACTCATCTTTTCATCTATCTCTTCATTCTCCCCTCCAGCAATAGACCACTCACTCCATCTCTCGGCCCACCATCCTTTCACCCATCCGCCCATACATCTTCCCTTCCACCCACTCGTCCTCCCACCTTCCCCCATCCATTCTCTCATCCAATCACTGATTTATTCATCATTCAATTACTCATTTATTCCTCTGTCCTTGTGCTAAGTATCTTTTAACTAATGATACAGGGGAACATTTTAGTTGGGGCAGACAGGGTAAAGGAAGTAAATAAGTAGCATTACTTTAGATCTAATAAGTGGTATAGAGGAAATAAAACAGGGAGACGTGCTATTGGGGCGGCCTGTTGTAGCTCACACGATCAAGTAAAACTCCGCAGAGGAGCAGCGGAGTTCCACATGTAGAGAAACGAGTCATGACAAGGTTAGTTGGGAAAAAAAATGAGTCCAGGGGGATAGTCAAGGTGGAGACCTGAGGTGGGAACGGCCTTGGCATCGTCAAGGCAGGAGGGAGGCCTGCTGGCTGGGGTGGTGTGGGTGAGGGATGCAGCAGGAGATGAGAGAGAGGAATGGGCCTGAGAGCCAAGGCAGGGAGTTTCGACCTTATTTTAAGTAGAAATGAGAAGCACTGGGGGCAGTGAGCAGGGAACTGGCATGACTCCTGCTCTGAAGCAAATGCTCAGACAGCTGTGTGGAGCGTGACATACAGCACCCAGGGTGGGAGCCGGGACCAGTCTGGAGTCCAGGCAGGAAGGGCCCGGGGGCAGCTTGGGATACCTGCCAGGAGCCAGGCCCTGCCTGGGGCATGGACTGGGATGTCAGCGTCCCTGATCTCAAGGAGGAACCTGTGTGTGTGTGTGTGTGTGTGTTTGTGTGCATGTGTGTGCGTGTGTGCGCGTGTGTGCGTGCGTGTGTGCGCGTGTGTGTGTGCGCGTGTGTGTGCGTGTGTGCACGTGCATGTGTGTGTGTGTGTGCGTGTGTGCGTGTGTTTGTGTGTGTCTGTGGTGTGAGAATGCTGCGGGCCTGGTTGTTTGTCCTGTGATTAGGGTGTGTTAGTGACATACTAATAGGCAAGGACCAGGGATGCTGGAACATCCCACCCAATGAAGCAGCATCTGTTCAAAGTGCCTGGAGCACCTCTGTAGAGAAACACCATACCAAATTATCACCCTACAAATAATTACAAATAAATATTCTTTCCCTCCCTAATTTGGCATCATAAGCATTTTACCAAGTCATAAACACTCCTTTCTTCAGTGAAGACTCTTGCTCATAAGTTTTGGTCTACTTTTCTCCTCTTTCAATCTTAAAAAATACAATTTGCCTAACAAGTCTATAAATTAGATAGACAACCTGAGCTGGGAGAAAACCAAAGTGAGGTCTGGGGCATGAAACCCTCTAAGTCATAATCATTCTAAACTGATCAGGCAGGCTCAGAGATCAGAGGTCATACTTGTATTTTCTTTCCACTTTTCCCAAGCATCTCCTAAGCCACTGGGAAATCAGAGAGTTTGTCAGTGACCTGGAAGGAGTCGGGCCCCAACCATGATCTTTGCGTTGGATCAAGCCATCTCAGATCTATGGTTGATTTAAACCTTGGAACCAAGAACCAGAAAGACTTCAAGAACTCAGATTCTTGATTCCAAAGTCAAAGATTCCCAGACTTCAGAGCTTTACACTTAGGGTACAGCAAAGCTTTAGAATCGCACACTTTCAGAACTAGAAGTGGAATGGTCCAGTCCTCTGGAAATGAAGCATAGTGGGCTGAGGGGACCTTTGTCTCGGGACCCCTCAGACGGAGGCACACCTCCCTTCTTTGTCCCTGTCCTCCTCCCCTTCCTCCTCCTCTCATCCCCCCAACTCCCCCACGCCCTCTCACTTTCCTCGCTGAGCATCCCCCAGCCAGTTATCCAGCAGGGCGAGTTACTGGGGAGCTTCATGCCGGGGACTGGGAGGCAGGCGGGGACGATGGAGGGGGTGAAGTTCACAGGAGAGAGCAGCTGCAACATGGCGATGTCGCTCCCGAAGGGATGCAGCTTCTCGAAGTCCGGGTGCGTGACGATCCGGCTCACGGGTACCTCCCGGGCCTGAGGGCCGTGCTGGTACAGCTGGGTGCTTCCTAACAGCACCCGGTAGCTCTCCGGGGCTTTGGGTTTCCTGCAGAAGGAAAGGAACTTGTCACCATCACCTCCAAGCGGGGACGCGCTCTCTGCCTGCATCCTCGTCTGACTGCTCGCACCCCTCTGGGCCCCGCCACTCCTTGTGATGCCAGACAGCCTTGTCTCCCCATTTCTAATGTTCAGGGGCCTTCTTTCCTGCGGCTAATTGATACCCTGCTTACAGTTTCAGACATGTGGCTGGCGTCTCCATCACTCACTAGAATTGCAGAAGCCCCGAATCCTTGTTCTGGAAAGGTTCAGTGGGGTCATCAAATGAAGGCCTTTTGATTGTACGCAGCAGGCGCTCTGGCTCAGTCCCGGCTCTAACTTCACCCTTCCCGAGACGCCACACAACCCACCTTCTGGCCCCACACTCTTCCTGACCATCCCCTTTTTTCAACACCTACCTGTCAAAAGCCTGCTTCTCCACTGAATTACAAGGACTTGCAAAAGATTCATTAAATAAGTGAGCAAATGAAGGCAGGAAACAGAACTTTGCCGTGTTCCCCCAACGCAGGTGCTGAATCTTCCCCCCACGCTCACTGTCTTCACGGCCCATCTACTTGGGGACCCTCTCTCGTGTTCCCCCGATGAAGCCTTCCCCTCCAGCAGACCCTCCCTCTCCACAGCCCTTCTCCTGACCCCAGCCCGTGTCCCCTCCCTCCTCGTCCATGCTGGGCTTTCTCTTCTGACGGCAGAGAGACATGGTGAGGCGGGATTTGCCACCCCTGATGCCACAGAGGGGCTTGCACGGAGCATGGCTCAGAGTGGGTGCCGACAGACCCTGAGCCCTAAAGCTCCAGCGCCCAGACCTGGGCTGCGATGCCTGAACTCCCTGGTGAGGCCCCTCCCCTGTTCAGAAGCCTGCCACCGAGCCAGCCCGCGTGGCAGCCCTGTCACTCTCCCAGCGAGCCCGCCTCCCCCAATGGGCCTAGCACCACGGCTCCTCAAACGCTCGCCAGGGCCCGCGACTCTCCCGGGCACACAGTGTCGCAGAATCTGGAGAACCGCCCAGCTGCCGGCCACACCTGTGGTCCCAGGCCCCACCGAGAACGGAAACAAGCGGACACTGAGCAGAAGCTGTGGTCTGAGACGGGTCCACACCGCATGGCAGTGAGGATGGACACTGTCCGCCTCCTGAGGCTCACCTGTGTTGGGGGCAGACACATGGGCCCAGGGTGGAGCATGAGGACGGTCTGGGCAGGTGAGCGGGGAGGACAGTCCAGGTGCAGGGTACACAGGCCAAAGGCGGAACGACGCCTCTGAAGGCACACGCTGCCCAGAGGAGCTAGCGTGGGACACCCATCCCCTTCTCCTCTTCCCCTGCATCCCCCTCCCCTGCCAGAGCCTGTGCTGGCAGCCTAGGAAGGAGACTCACTTGAGAAAGCAGTGGGCGGTGGAGAGGAGCCAGCGGGAGTTAATGAGGACGGCTCCACAGACGTGTGAACCCCGGGACTGCAGGCTGGCCTGCCACGGCCACTGGCCGGCCTCCACGTCCCGGCCGCCGGAGATCCTCCCCATCACCTTGGGCTTCCCGCACGCTGCGGAGACCCCCCTGCCACCTGCAACAGAGACACTGGTGGTGCCCCAAATGTCACTGCCAGGAAGGCCGCCCCGCTTCACAGATGGGAGAACCAAGCCAGGCGTCCAGCGGCCTAGCCGAAAGGCCAGGCGTCCAGCGGCCTAGCCGAAAGGCCAGGACTCTGCTTCACCGGCCGCCACTGAGGACGGGAGGGCAGAGCACAGCGCATCAAGCCCTGTGGGGTGAGGACCGGAGGCCTGGGGGGTGGGGCAAGGAGGGGCCAGCTCACAGAAGCGTCTCCAGGCAGATGAACATCCTTGAGCAAGGCTGCCAAGGGCTGCACATGTCACAGACCTCATTTCCGTCAACTAGCCACCTCAATGCCTTGTCTTGTAGATCACAGAACTAAAGGTCTCAGAAGTTGCCGAGATTACTCTCCCAAGATCATGGCTTCTAAGGGCCTGTGCTCCCTCCACTTGACCCCATGTCTCAGGGAGGGAGATTTGCAGGCAGAAGCTGTGGTGCTGCGTGATCTGGGGCAAGTCACAGCCCTCTCTGACTCTGCAGGAGTCTCCATCTCTAAAAGAAGAAGGACTGGGCTAATGGGGACAGCCCTGGTTCCAGGACTCACGCCTGGGAGGGCAGGAGTGTGCCCAGGCCCCCTGAGACCGGGCATCCTGGTCCAGGGCCTGGGCTCCCACGGCCGCAGTGAGGGGAGAGCCCTGGGCCCGGGACTCAGGCCCGTTCTCGCAGTAGACCCGGCGGTTTCCTCCACCCAGCCTCCAACCTCCGGACCGGGCCCCGCTGGTGCCCACTGCCTCGCCCCACAAAGGGACTGGGTCTGCTCCCACCCTAGCGCCTGACCCAGCTGTGCGGAGGGGCCTCTGGGCTGCCTGGCCGCAGGGAGGGGCGGAGAAGCGGTGAGACGGAGTGCCTCACCAGGCCCTGGTCGCAGCCGTCACCCTCAGGCCCTGTGGCCTAGGGGATCTTGGCCCGAACGGACGCCCCAACGCACCTGTGGCTCCCGGGGCCAACCGCTGTGCTCGCCAAGTCGGAGCGCCGCCCCCCCACGCTCCCCCGTCGCCTGCAGTCGGGCGGGGGGCGGCCGCGGCTGGGGGCGCCCCCAGCTCCAGGGGGGCCACGGCCAGCAGGAGCCAGAGCAGAGCGGCCGGCCGGCCCGGGCCGCGGGGGGTGCCCGCCGCCCCGCCCATTGCCGGTGACCGACCCAGCCCGCGCACCCTGCCCCAGACCAAGCCCGAACAGCTCTGCTTCGACACAGGCTTTAGACCATGACGTTCGTTTATGCAAAGGACAAGTCAATGATTTTCAGTAAAGTTTAAAAATTTATTGATTTATGCTTAAATAAACCTTTTAGTTTAGAACAGTTTGAGATGTACGGAAAAACTGCGATGATAATACAAAGAGTTCTAATGTTCCTCCTCACCCTGTTTCCCCTAATGATGAGATCTTTGGATTGCCCTGGCACATGTGCCACAACTAGTGAGCCAATACTGATACCTTAATATTAACCTAAGTCCATTCTTTCTTTCTTTCTTTTTTAATCTTTTAAGTTTAAGGTGCATGGCATAGTGATTTGGAGAAGGAAATGGCAACCCATTCCAGTATTCTTGCTTGGAGAATCCCAAGGACAGAGGAGCCTGGGGGGCTGCCATCTATGGGGTTGCACTGAGTCGGACACGACTGAAGCGACTTAGCAGCAGCAGCGGCATAAGTGATTTGCCTTTATATGCATCGTGAAATGGTTACCCCGATAAATTTAGTGAACCCACATAGGTACAGAATTAAAGAAATTGGAAAAAAAAATGTGTTTCCCAGTGATGAGAACTCAGGACTTACTCTAACAAGTTTCCTATATCATATAGAGCAGTATTAATTATATTTATCATGTTGTATATTACCTTCCTAGTACTTATAACCAGAAGTTTGTTTCTTTGACTATAGCTATCTAATTCCTACCTCCCCATTTCTGGCTTCTTGTAACCACAAATTTGAGATCTCTTTTTCTGTGAATTTGTTTGTTTTTGAAGTGTAATTGACCTACAATGCTGTTAGTTGCTGTTACACAACATAGTGATTGGATATTTCTGCACATTTCAAAATAATAGGAATACTTAGGATATGTCACCGTACAAAGACATTACATAGTTATTCACTATATTCCCCACAGTGTACATTTCTTACCCATTTCACACTCATTTATTTGGCAATTGGAACTTTAAAAATATTTATTTATTTATTTATTTATTTATTTAGACTCCCTTGGGTCTTGTTGCTCCATGAGGGACTTGTCTAGTTGTGGAGAGCGGGGAGTAGGTACTCTTTATTGTGGTGTGCAGGCTTCTCATTGCTGTGGCTTCTCTTGTGGAGCACATTTTCTAGGGCGTGGAGGCTTCAGTAATTGAGGTGCACTGGCTTAGTTGCCCCATAGCACGTGTTGTCTTCCTGGATCAGGAACTGAACGCATGTCCCCTGCGTTGGCAGGCAGATTCTTAATCACTGGACCGCCACGGAACTCTTGCCACGGGAACTTTGTACCTCAATCTCCCTCAGCTTTTGCTTTCTTCTCCCCCAATCCTCTCCCTTCTGATAACCAACCTGTTTGTTCTCTTTGTCTATAACTCTGTCTGTTTTATGTTTGTTCATTTATCTTTTAGATTCCAAAGAAGTGTAGTCATACAGTACTTGTCTTTGTCTGACTTATATCACTTAGCGTGATAGTTTCTGGGCTTCCCAGGTGATGCTAGTGGTAAAGAACCCACCTGCCAAGGCAGGAGACATAAAACAAGCCAGTTCTAACTCTGGGTGGGGATGATCCCCTAGGGGAGGGTGTGGCGATTCGCCGCCAGCTGCCCCAGCCCAGTGTTCCTGCCTCGAGAATCCCATTTACAGAGAAGGCTGCTGTGCTTCTGTGCTCAGCTTTCTTATGGTGCAACTCTCACATCCACACACGACCACTGGAAAAACCATAGCCTTGACTAGACGGACCTTTGTTGGCAAAGTAACGTCTCTGCTTTTTGATGTGCTGTCTAGGTTGGCCATAACTTTTCTTCCAAGGGGCAAGGGACTTTTAATTTCATGGCTGCAGTCACCATCTGCAGTGATTTTGGAGCCCCAAGTGAATAGTCTCTCACTGTTTCCATTGTTTCCCCATCTATTTGCCATGAAGTAATGGGACCGGATGCCAGGATCTTAGTTTTCTGAATGTTGAGTTTTAGCCAGCTCTTTCACTCTCCTCTTTCACTTTCATCAAGAGGCTCTTTAGTTCTTCGCTTTCTGCCATAAGGGTGATGTCATCTGCATATCTGAGATTATTGATATTTCTCCCGGCAATCTTGATTCCGGCTTATGCTTCATCTAGCCCTGTATTTCACATGATGTACTTTGCATATAAGTTATATAAGCAATATGTGTGAATGGACCCTCCTCTTTCTGAATCATTGCATTGTTCCTAGCAGGTGGGTGAAAGAATTCCCATCAGTGTCGGGGATTCTCAGCAGAAATCATGCGTGTGGATAGAGGGGTGTTTGCAGCTTATGCTGGTGGGCACTCCTTCACCATCTGTGTGGTCCTAGCATTTGGGCCCCTAGAAGGGTGGGTCTGGTGGGCAGATGGCATGCAGAGGAGAACCTTCAGAGGTGTGCTGTTGGTGTAGCAGGCAGCAGTCAAAAGTCATGGTGCTTCTTGGATAAGAGGTCAGATAACCAAGTGCTCTCTCAGGAAAAGGCCCTGAGAGTTGGCTGGACAGCTCCAGGTGTTGCTGGCTATTCCGTGGCACAGCTGATGGGCAAGGATGACTCCACATTGGGTCCAGGTGGTGAAAGCCTACAAAGCCTTGTGTCCCTGAACCCACTGCCCTGGGAGCCATGGGGACTACTGAGTATCAGTCTGGCCAGCTGCACCACTAGGTCTCAACCGACCTGTGTGTGCACGCTCAGTCGCGTCCGACTCTGCCACCCCATGGACTGCATCCCGCCAGGCTCCTCTGTCCACGGGATTTCCCAGGCAAGAATACTGCAGTGTGTTTCCATTTCCTCCTTCAGGGGATCTTCCTCACCCAGGGATCGCACTCAGGGATCCAGGGATCAAACTCAGGGATCCAGGGATCAATCTGCACTGCAGGTGGATTCTTTCTTTTAAGGCACCAGGGAAGGACTTCAACCAGTCTAGCTCCATGGAAACCTAACTTCTCAGGGATACACAGGACCTCTGGGGATCAGTGAACTGACAAGGATGAAGGTGGGTGTTTTGCAGAAAGTTTTCAGTTTTGTCTCAGGTTCAAAGAATTTGTTAACAAAATAAGCCACTTGTTATACACAAATAAATAATACCAAAATTTTTTAGAGAATTATCTAGCTTTCTTTCAATATACTAATGTTAAAACAAAAGAGAAATAGAAACAGCAGAGGATACATCACTGAATTGGGTTTTGACCAACATCCAGAATTAAACAGCACGGGGAAATCCCCTGACACAGCATTTCTGGAGTCCCAGTTGGGAAAAGTTCCCAGCAATGCATCTGCTTCATGAGTGAGATTTCAAATATTGCAGTTTGGGATTCCAGTTTATAATCCCAGGATGCAAACTGATACCATCATCAATCTGTGAGCAATTTCAGTGAGGTTTCACGCTAATGCTATTTGTTTGTCATGTAAAACTTGGAATATTGTTAAGCCTGGGGCTTGGTTGGCCAGTGTCCCTCTGGGGACTCAACAATTTCAAGACTTGGCTCCTGTCTCGTCTATGGTTCTGCAAAGCTAGCACTCACAGTAGGCAATCAGGGCACTCAAGTCAGGGCTGTGTCCAGGCAAGTTAAAAGCAAGGTCAGAGGCCTGATCTGTTTTGTCTCTGCGCCTGATCAAGATTATTTATTTAATTTACCTAATACTGGGGAGGTTTTGTCCCTGAGAGAGAGCATTAAGGACTGAGAATTGGAGAGCCTGGGGAGTCCTGCTCTGAGGACATACAGCTCTGACATTCTCAAATCCTTTAGACATGTTCTCTATTCTTTTCTGAAGGCTTTGGATTCTTCTTGCAGTGGGAAGCTCATCTCAGTTTTATGTTTCCCTGATAGGATGAAGTGACCCATTTTTTTTTTTTAAACTATTCAACAGGAATTTGGCAACAAGGAGCTCATGATCTGAGCCACAGTCAGCTCCTGGTTTTGTTTTTGCTGACTGTATAGCACTTCTCTGTCTTTGGCTGCAAAGAATATAATCAATCTGATTTTGATATTGACTATCTGGTGATGGCCATGTGTAGAGTCTTAAATTCAGACCTAAATTGAAGAAAGCAGGGAAAACCACTAGACCATTCAGGTATGACCTAAATCAAATCTCTTATGATTATACAGTGAAAGTGAGAAATAGATTTAAGGGATTAGATCTGATAGACAGAGTGCCTGATGAAGTATGGATGGAGGTTTGTGATACTGTACAGGAGACAGGGATCAAGAAAATCCCAAAGAAAAAGAAATGCAAAAAACCAAAATGGCTGTCTGAGGAGGCCTTAGCTGTGAAAAGAAGAGAAGTGAAAAGCAAAGAAGAAAAGGAAAGATATACCCATTTGAATGCAGAGTTCCAAAGAATAGCAAGGAGAGATAAGAAAGCCTTCCTCAGTGATCAGTGCAAAGAAATAGAGGAAAAAAATAGAATGGGAAAGACTAGAGACCTCTTCAATAAAATTAGAGATACCAAGGGAACAGTTCATACAAAAATGGGCTCAATAAAGGACAGAAATGGTAAGGACCTAACAGAAGCAGAAGATATTAAGAAGAAGTGGCAAGAATACACAGAAGAACTGTACAAAAAAGATCTTCACGGCCCAGATAATCACAATGGTGTGATCACTCATCTAGAGCCAGACTTTCTGGAATGTGAAGTCAAGTGGGCCTTAGGAAGTATCACGAGGAACAAAGCGGTGGAGGTGATGGAATTCCAGTTGAGCTATTTCAAATCCTAAAAGATGATGCTGTGAAAGTGCTGCACTCAATATGCCAGCAAATTTGGAAAACTCAGCAGTGGTCACAGGACTGGAAAAGGTCAGTTTTCATTCCAATCCCTAAGAAAGGCAATGCCAAAGAATGTTCAAACTACCACACAATTGCACTCATCTCACATGCTAGCAAAGTAATGCTCAAAATTCTCCAAGCCAGGCTTCAACAGTATGTGAACTGTGAACTTCCAGATGTTCAAGCTGGTTTTAGAAAAGGCAGAAGAACC